CTGTTAAGGATGTCTTCCCCTCTTCTCCTTCCTCCTCCTCGTAGCGCTTCTTGAGGTTTGGCTCTTTCTTTTTTCCTTTTTCTTTTTTTCTTTTTTTTTCTTCCTCCCAAATGGTTATAGTAGGTTGTATGGAGTTTTGTACTTTCGTAAGTTTTTAGTGGAGAATGGCCTAAGTATTTTGGTCTAAATACTACATTTTGGAGAATCCTATGATTATTTATACATATGTGAACAGCCCTCCAATCTGCTAACACATATGTGAACAGTTTGGTTGGGGTACAAGCTGTAAGCACATTTCGTATAACACATTTGCGGCCTCGAAATCGTGCAACAAGATTAATCAGTAACATTGCATCAACATGAGTTTCATTTATCATACTAATGCAATCCTATAATATGTATATTAAATTACTAAGTTAACATATGTTTTCCTTGAATATACATATAACTATATCAGTGTAGATATACCTTGAAATATGGGTAAGCACACCATGTTGACCACAATCTTGGTTTTTTAAACTATGAACCAAATTAAGGAAAATAACCCGTATGACATGAAAAATCTTGAATCCAAACCTATAAATAACACGATTTGGTAGAAATGTCACGCAATACCTGTAAATAACCCAATTCATCGTAACAACTCATATGACATGCAAATAAAAAAGGCTTAAGATACATTTATCAATAGGTCATTATCATCATGGAAAGTTATCCAATACATCTTATTAAAAGATGTAGTTGCTATTCACATTTTTAGACCTTCATCATTGCCTTATAACCGAAAAAATCACCAATTAATCATAAATGATATACGAAACCTATAAATAACCTGATTAATCATAAAATACCTGTATAAAATAGAAAATCACACCAAACCTGTAAATAGTTGAGACTGAGTAGTTAAGTTAAATAAAAGAAACAAAACTAGTTAGGTTTCAAAATCATGAGCGATGCCGATTCCAAACCATGAGCAAAACCAACAGAAAAATTAATAATCAAGATAAATGTTGTCAAATTCAACATCCAACTACCAACTAAGTGCACCAGTTCATATCCATATATAAAAGCCAATGTTTGCTTACAAAATGTTTACCAAGAACAAAGATGAGTAAGAAAGGTAGAGATATTTGTGTAACATCAATGATAAGAATCTTGAAAGTTACAAGAAACTTGTAGCTATTTTTTTCTAATGTTAATTTACTTTGCTTTTTAATCTCAGCGTGAAAGGATTATTAAACCTAAACTACTCACTTTTGAGAAATGGATTTCCTATACAAATGAAGATCGAGAGCGTGATGAGATGGATGATTTATTCACGTAGCATGGATAATGCTAAAAGCTAATGCTTTGAAAGTTACCGAAACAGGTGTTGAAAGTGTTCCTATTGCAAGGATATGCCCAATATGAACTAGAACAAGAATGATCTCCTAACACATGCACATGAAGTTGGTCACAATTGAACTGTGGGCAATATTACTAAGGAGGGTATTGCTGAGCATCGTAGATTAGAAATTTATTTACAATGGTTAAAAATGAAAGCATTGATCTACTTTGCTATTATCATGTACCACTTTGCTAGTTGTCCATGTCGAAATTTGAGTGAAGTTTATGGCTAAAAATCATCTGAAAACATTTGTTGATATCACATAAAATATATCAACCATATGTATATGAAATTTATAGCTGAGGGCTCAGAATTTGATCAATATCATCATTATTAGTCGTCTAGTGCAATGTCATAAAGAATTACAGGTTGCTAATCTTAATTATTTTGACACTCAGCATAACCCAAAAGTAAATAAGTCGCCAAACAAAACCCATGAAATGGCAACAGAATAGCTTCATAACCCATAGTAGAAATAATCCAATATAATATAAATACATTGTAGGTTGTTCACATACATACATTTTCGATTGTCATGTACATAGTGGCAATATAGGGTTTCTACGATCATAAGTTCATGATAGAATTAAGTTTATAAATATTCACATAAAATTATATATGAAACCATAAGCTCAAAGTGTAAACACAAATAAAAGTGAGTGCATATGAAAATATCTACCTATTACAAGAATGTGTATCATCAAGATAATGTTTGATAAACCCAAAATATAGCATCAACATAGTGTTAAAAAAATCAAATGTTCTTCCCCAAATTAAGTAAGTCCAGCAAATTAAGTAAGTGGATTTAACAAGAATCTAAGAAGTTAGAATCGTAAAATACCACATGAAGCCAAAATGATACCATTATTCAACCCCCATTGAAAAAGAAGGAATTAATCATCTCTTTTTGACCCACCGTTGATATGCCTATAAAAAGTCTTGATTCATTCTCATTCACAAAGAGATATTGGCAGAATGCATCTAGCTTATCAACACTAAAGTATTGTAAATGAGCATATACGATCTCGGGATAACTTTTTGGTCCAATGCATATTTACACATTTCATTAATGAATTAAATACTTTCACCTCATCTATCATTTATTGCATGAGCTCATCACCTAGGTTGGTTCTACGAGCCTTTCTCTTACTAGCACATGACTTTGCCTTAGAAGTTGATGAGGTGGGTGCTTCCTTGGGTGGAGGAGTGTCATCATCTAAAGAGTGCACTTGAGGGGATTGATCGGTAGGCAAAGATGGGTCAACATCATCTCCAAGATTAATGGACTCGCTACGACTAAACTTTTGAAAAGTATTGTTAGCAAAGTCCCCTCTAGCTTGACCATCCTCTGCAAGATCATCATAATGCACCAATGATTTATTGACGCACTCCCTAAGCTTAACATTAGTAATTCTCTTGTCCTGAAAAATTATACGTGTACTAATGCAATGAAAATGAGAGAATGCGAAAATGAGACAATGGAAATGCAACAATGGCTTATTTACCTCAATCCACCTATCCAAACACTCAACATCTATGATGACAGTCTTGGTGTTATCATCCCATTTGGCATCACTAAGATTACGATAAGTTTTCATATCATGAAATATTGTACACAAAGTTTTGATCCGGTGCATGACGTTCTCCCACTTAAAGGTAGTGTTAGAAATATTATTGATATGTGTGGAAGCCATGTTATAAGTAATTCTCTTAAAGCTCTTGTCGGGTTTGTAACCAGTTCTTGCGAAGTTAGCAAGAAATGGAATGAGCTCATTGTCATAATGAAAACCCCAAAATAAATGTTTGTTCCTTGGGAACGACCAGCCTTCCTATTCTTTTTCTTTGTTGAAGTGTTTTTTCTCTTCTTCTTTAGATTCGGTGAGGTTTATACCCCTTATTCCATATATGAGCACCCCTTTGGAACATGATTTGGGAGTTGAGCCATGATCACTAATGGGAATGGGAGACAGTTACAATCTACTAATAGTATGGCTTTGAAATTGTTGAGGTAGAGTAGGAGAACTTAGTATATTTATAAATGGGCCCAGTTGGTAGTGTATTTAGGAGTAATCGCCATCATAACATGGCATGTTGGAAAATACATGAGGTTGTTATCCAAAGTAGGACTGCTAAAATGGGAAAACCCCACTACTAGGTGGAGACATAGCCTGAGGAGGTTGGAATGAAGGAGGTTGAGATGGAACCACACCGTTGCCTTTATTTTTCTCTCTCCCACTAAGGATGTATTATTAGCCATTACTAATTTAATAGAGAGAGTTAGATATATAATTAGTAAGATGAGCAAAGCATGAATACATGAATGAAAAGCTAAACATAATAAATGGAAAAAGCAAAACAGAGTTAAGAGTACATAAATGATTAAATATAGTACAACAAATATGAACGTTAAGTCTCAATGGTTAAACCATGATTATACTTATCACAGTAGTCAACCCACATCGCCCAAGCAATATCATCCCTAAGAATCTTTCACTCGTTTTTTGATTATGTTTGTTCTCTTTAGGTTTGAGTTTGTGCAAAATCAACTAAATTGTTGAAAATTACATCTGCCACCTCACTGTCAATATCTTTATTACAGACTCATTGGGTAGATCATCACTTGGATCAATAGTTGCAATGAAATTATGAAGTACTGTGTAGGCCAATACAATATCTACTTGTGTAGGAAATGGGTAATGTTGCTTAATATATAAAATTTTGAATCGATTCTTCAATGTGCCAAAAGTAGATTCAATCTTAGACCTCAAAGAAAAATACCTTATATTAAACAACTCTCTTCTATTCTTAGGTGTTTTACCAGTATGTTCTTTTAAATGATATCAAATGCCTCGATATGAAGAGATGAAAACGGGCATAGTAGGGTATCAAGCATCACACAAAGAGTATTTACATGCAATTTGTTTAAGAAAAATTATAAATAAGTCCAAGTTTGCATATTAAAATAAAAAAAATTTAAGTATGAATTTTAAACGATTATCATCATAGACTCCCAATCCATGTGGTTGTGGTCTAAATAATACATTTAGGAGAATCCTATGATTATTTACAGACCCCCAACCTGCTAATACATATGTGAACAGCCCCCCAATCTGCTAACACATATGTGAACAGCTTGGTTGGGGTACAATCTGTAAGCACATTTCGTATAACACATTTGCGGCCTCGAAATCGTGCAACAAGATTAATCAATAGCATTGCATCAACATGAGTTTCATCTATCATACCAATGCAATCCTATAATATGTATATTAAATTACTAAGTTAACATATGTTTTCCTTGAATATACATATAACTATATCAGTGTAGATATACCTTGAAATATGGGTAGTATAACAGATTGTTAATGATCTCTTGTGGAACATCATTTGGGTCTTATCTCATATAGCATCCATGCAGGCAAATAATTGCTTTTAATACTTTGTTGAAATATCAACTGATTGTTGCCCCTGATTTAATAAAATGAGACCTCACAATGTGACAATGCGGTTTTTAAATTTATGACCCAAAATGTTCAATGACATGATCAGTTGTTCTTCTTCTGTTACATTCCTTGAGTCTTTTAGTAATTCATTTTTCCTCATTATACTTGCTAGTTTCACAAAAGCACCATTCCACATTCTAATGTAATTTATACAACTATCACTAAACCATTATACATACTTTCTATGTGTTCAATTGTAATTTTCTCTTGTTCTCTTTTTTCCTCACTTGAACCACTACGAATTAATATACATCTAGCTTGTGTTCTCATCATCAATGTCATCACTAACATGAAAACTGATAGTGTAACCCCTTGGCACATATTAACAAGAGTTTCTTGATCAACAAATTCACCATCACTGTCCATCTACAATACGCACATGCAACCACATCCAAAAATAAATATACTGTAATAAGTAGAAAGAATTCATTGAACAAATTCTCATAAGTCATAACGACATGATCCACAATGTTATAAAATATTATTGCGATGCATTACATGAAATAAATTGATTTGTGTGAATGATATAACAAAAGAAGGAACTTTGTAAGTGTGTATGAATGATCTACTAATTTAATAGGACTGCATATATTATTGGATGTCTTAAATTAGGGTGGAATGATATGTGATTTTGGAAAATATTCACAACGGCAGATGAAGATGTCGTAGGAACATACTACTCTTTAAAAAAAACTTAAAAAGTGTTTATAGCTCCACTTTCTTTAAAACAAACAACAAGAACAACTTGTTCAAATTGAATCCATGATTTCTAGTAGTCTTCATAACTCCACTTCTAAATACATGATTATTCAACTTTCTTATAAACAAATAACAAGAACAACTAAAGTAAGCTTCTTTGATTTCAGAGTTTGAGTCATAACAATGCATATTTCTACATTGTTTCCATGATTTAGGTTCGTAGACAACTAAAGTAAGCTTCTTTGATTTCAGACCGCAAGCAAGAGCAACATGAACCAACAAATTTCTTGCTGCAATCATGAGGAACAGTAAGAACCAAGAATTTTTACATTAAAATTTCATACCGCAATTAAGAAAAAGAATAAGAACCAAGAAATTTTACCTTGAAATTGCCGAAATTTGAGATCGCAAACAAGAAGAACAGTGAGAACCAAAGGGGAAAACCCTTGTCCGATGCCTCTTCAAACTCTCAACAGAGAACCAAGACGCGAAGAAGAGGGATGAGCAGGAATAAGAGGGAAGCACGAGAAATGGCGGTAACCCTAGCTAACAACCCGATTTCCCCCAATTTTTTGTAGATCTAACAAAACTACACAAGAGATGGGGTTTGCATGCATTTCTGCTCAATTTGGAAGGAAATTGGGGGAAGAAAATTGGCTTAGATTGAGCTCTTTCCCGCCTCTTCAAACCCTAGCTCTCATCGCAAACCAAACACAAACACAGAAACAATGGGAAACAAAAAGTCATATGTGGACACTGTATCAGCATGAGGAAAGGGTTTTCGGGGGTCTTTTAAGAGAACCCCAAACAGCCCTTCGTGTTTAGTTCACACTTGAAACATGGTGGGAACCAATTTACACACTTTTCTCTTGTTTGGTTGGTATATAACACATGAGAAAACAATTAGTTAACAAGATTTTCCCCACTTTTCTTGTATTTGGTTGGTTTCGAATTTTGTCTAAAAAATGGATATGATAGCCAATTTCAGATTACCTCTCATTAAAGATAAATCTATTTGTGACTGTTGTGAATGATAATCTTACCAAAAGAAAGCTCATAGATTGCAACCAAACAATCTAGAATCAGAAGCTAATTCTATGTGAGCATAATTGTAGTTGACAATAAGCTATAATAAAGAATGTATAAGTTCTAAGTTTCTACCATTTTTTTTTCACATGGCACAACGTTCATATGATATAGCTATAGAGAAGAGAAGTACTAAATAAAGCCCACACTAGCATCTCACTAATACAAAATCTATAAGCTATAAAGTAAGACATATATACAACAACAACAACAACAACCAAACATTTATCTTAAATGTTTGAGATCGGCGATATGAAACCTATTTTTCTATTTCATTCTGTTATAGGTCATCTCCTTCGTTAAGTTAGTATTAATCATATCATTTTTAATTGTTTCTAAACTAGTCATTCTAGGTCTACCCCTAGATCTCCTAGCCCCATTAACTTTAATATTATCGATTTTCCTAATCGGTGCACTAAGGAGTCTCCATTGTACATGAAGTAAGACACATATAATCTCCTAAATTCCTGTGTAGTATAAATTTTATTTTCTCCATGATTTCAAGCATTTAAATTCTCCATACAACACAGTGGGAGCGTTTGGCAATTGTGGCATTTTTAACGTTTCTGTTTTTTTTTTCAACAAAAACAAAGAAACATGTTTGGCAACCGTGGTGTTTTTTTGACTTGTTCCTTTACAAAATCTAAAAATTAAACACTTTTCTCAAAACACCAAAAAAGTGTTTTGAGATTCCGTTTTTTCATTTAAGCGTCGCAGGCTCGCTTGCCCGTCGCGTGGCCGGCCCGCCGCAACCCGTCGTCGTGGGCGGCCATAACCGCCTGCCACCCCGCGGGCCATCCTTCGGCCCGTTCGTCCGGATTGTCGTCGCGCTCTGCTTCGTCGGCCTGCGCACCGGCACATCGCTCCGCCCGCCGTCGCCACCGTCGCCCGCTCCCGGCCCTCCGCCACCCACTCGACAGCGGCCACCGGCCACCCTCCACCAAGCTGCCCGCTGCGCGCTGCCCGTCGTGCCAACCGTCGGCCGCGGCCACCCGCCCATTGGCTGCGCCACCCAGCGGCGCCCGTCCGGCCACCGCCACTCGTCGACCACCCGTCCATCGGTCGAGCTGCCCGCGTCACCCTCCACCTGCGCTGCCACCACTGACACTGTCGCCGCCCGCCGCGCGCCGCCCGTCGCGCCAGCCGCGCCGCGGCCAGCGCCCACCCGTCGGCGCACCTGCCGCGCCCGCCGTCGACTCGCCCCGTCGGCCAGCCGCCCGGCGCTCGCCGCTACGCCGCTGGTAGATGCGATCGGCTGTTTCGCCCTTCGGCGCGCCGCTGGCCACTTGCCATCTGCTATATAAATGGTCAAACTAGTTTGACCAAAATAGTGTTTTCAAAACAATTTTGAAAAAGAAACACCATGGCGTGGTGTTTAAAAAAAACACATTGATTACCAAACATGAAAACTGAACAAAATTCAGCAAAAATCCTAAGATATTAGCGCACAACAAAAAGCATAATAGAGAAAACCTAGTTGTAACAAAAGCTCAAAATATCAAAATTTCATGAGAAATGCGACCTCAAAGTGATGATCAATAGCAGCCTCCTCATCTCCAACCAAGTAAGAGACCGCCATGAACACCAATTTCTCATAACTAGTCCCCTTCTTCTTCTCCAAAAACCACAATGAAACAGAAAATCATCAAAACCCAACCACAAAATCAAAGAATCCAAGTTTGGGATCTCACAAGCAAATTCTGTTGCGGCGGAGAAAAAAGCTTGCGCCTTTGTCAGAGCGAAATGGGTTTCTTCGCGGAAATGGGTGTTTTCCCTTTTGCTGAGTTGTAAGCGGTTTATCCAGCCCATTTTCCAATTTATTTTTGTGAACTAAACCTACGAAGAAAAGCCCAAATCCATTTTTGCCTAACTGGACCAGATTGTCAAACATATTTCTTAGCCTATTTTAGCGAACCAAACAGTCCTTAGAAAACAACCAAACAGACCCTAGGGATTCTTTTCTCCACTTTAGAGAGGAGATTTCTTTTACCTTTTTTTTTTGTTTATCAAATAAGCAGTAAAAACTAAAATATGGCCTGGAAACAGGTTTACATAAAAAAGTAAAATCAATTTTTCTTGTTTGTTGCTCCAATCATACAGCCCCTAAATCACAAATCACACTTCGGACATGTCCTGTGTACATGAGTGATATATACAGCAACTCTAACTAAGCATATGTAGGTCTCAACTTCATCAGAATACACACTAGAAGACAAGATACCAGGAATGCAAATCTAAACTGACATCTCATAATAATAAGCACAACCATAGCCTTGAACCAAATACAAGCCTGGAACTGATAGTAGAAAGATACATATATTTTCAAAACACAACTATCTAGATTGCTCCTTTGGCAACTCTTCAAAATGGAACTAGGTTTGTTCCCATTTTGAAAAAAAAAATGTTTGGGAAATACTAGGCTAGTTTTCACACAGTTACCCAATGCCAAAAAAAAGATCTTAAATTTGTTCTTTTCAGGACAAGCTCTCATTTAGCTTCCACTTAAACTAGTCTATCTATCTATATACTAATGCAAGGCCCTAGATTGCCACTTGGTGACTTGTGGTTATTTTGGCTTTATTTGCTTTAAATTTTTCTTTCTTTCCTTTAGCCTATTAATTAACAATATTTACCAACCAAACTTTTCATCCATACCATTTTAATTGAAACCCCTTCAAATTATTTATCCTCACCCATCTAAATAATTCTTAATTTGACAGGTCTCTTTTAATGAATAATTATATTTGAAATCAACTTCTTTCCGATAAAAATATATGCACCTTAAAATAAATCCAGCATCATTGTGCAGTTAAAAGGATAGTGTAGACTAAAACTAGGCCGGGATTAATGCTGGCCCAGTTTCACAAGGGTTGCCAAACACATTCTAGTCTGCTGCTAGAAGTCGTTACAGACTGTGTGGAATGGGACAGGAAAGATATCTATTATAGGTTTTGGTTGTACATCATACTTCCTTTAAAAGTACGAGTCTAGAAAAATCTTTTCATGGTCAATATTACCCTTAGCTTTTTTTAATACTATAATGTTATCCTAATCTATTCTAATTATCATATCTTCTTTGAATTAGTAACTAAATGAGTATTCTATTCATAATATAACTTAACATGTTATTGGATAAAAGAGATATGTTTCATATAATTCAAATCTTTTACTTATTTTAGTTTGTAGAGAAATCTAAAAAACATATGCTAGCCAACACCTAAAAGTTTTTAGACTTTGTAAAAAATATTCTCTAAGTTTTTAAATTACAAAAACGCCCCTACAAATTAAAAAAATTATTAAATCATCTTAAAAATTATAAATTTTACTTATTTCAATTCAGTGAGAAATTTGAAAAACACATGCTAGCCAGAAACTAAAAGTTTTTTGACTTTAGAGAAAATATCTTATAAGTTTTGAAATTATAAAAACACCCCTAAAATTTTAAAATTTATAAAAAAACACCTAGAAAATTTTAAACCTATCAACACACTAAAAACCTACAAATAACACAAACAACCCCTAAAAAATTATGGAACTTACAATACACACTTTGAACTTTTACAAAATACAAAATAAAACCCTCAAAATTATAAAATTTATAAAAATCCTGATAATTTTCAATCTAACAGTACATTAAAATATAAGAATTATAAATATCTCCTACATAATTTATAATTTATAGAAAACACCCTTAAAGTTTTAAAAATTACAAACAAACCTTTAAAATTCAAAATTTATAAAAAACATCCTGAGAATTTCAAATTCATTAGTAAATTGAAAGTATCTGAATTATAAATAGTCTATAAATAATTTATAATCTGTAGAAAAGCTCTATAAGTTTAAAAAATTATAAAAAACCCCTAAAATTTATAATTTATAAAAAACACCATGAGAATTTCTAACCTATAGACATTAAAATGAATATGTAAAATTACTAACAATCCCTAGAAAATTAAAATTTTACAAAAAAATATCATATACCTTTTAAAAGTATAGGTTTAGAAAAACAATTTCATGGTGAATATCATCCATAGCTTTTTTGAAAAGAGCATAACTAATTGAAAATCTATTAAATTTAAAATTTACAAAAAAACACCCTTAAAGTTTAGTACATTGTAAATTACCTCTGCAAAGTTTAAAAATTTTCAATGATTTTTTGTAATTTCTTGATTTCAATGTAATGTTTAATAGTTTTGTGTATTTGTAAATTATAAAATTTCAGTGTGTTTTTTATAATTTTTAAAACTTTTAAGGGTGTTTAGTTTATAGTTTTCTAAATTTTTATTGTGTTTTCAGTGTAATGCACAGATACGTCAATTAATGATGATATTGAAGAGTAAACCGTTCTTAATATTATTAGACCATAGTTAAGTGTGCACATCGTTATTTTTATGCAGTATAGTTTATATATGCAAAAATTTTGAGACAATCTATATAGTGGTTAAAAAGATTTTGATTTTAATGTACTTTTTTATAAGTTATATTTAATGTGAACCCTCCATGTAATTTTGACTGTGGTCATCATAATTTTAATATGTTTGATTGATTGACTATATATAGACGCGTATAAACCATAGATTACTATACTTTCTCACATGATCTAATATTTGGTGCTTAATGATTTTAATTATTACGTTTAAATTTAATATAAGGAGAAGCTCTGATAACATTTATTTATTTACCTACAGCATAATACAATCTCAATTCCTATTTTTTACTGGAGATTTATTCTATAGTTATGCGTATCAAATTACTAACTACAATAATAATTATCTATGTTTAAATTAGGATGATTGTAGTTGGTCACTCACTATGGAATTTTTTTGAAGATATATACCTTACTTTCTATAGCTACTTGCACTGTCCATGTATATTTTATAAATTAGTTATTTTCCTTTGTAGAAAATTTTCTTTAACTTTTAGACTGTGTAATCACCATATTATCATTCTAGAGTAGAACGAGTCTCACTTTAAATAGCTTCAAGCCAATGTTTGAGTTGAACTGAAGTATATCCTATTGCTACTATGTGTATATATTTTAAAAAAAAATCATGCCAACACTTTTTAAATAGAAAAGAATATTCTAACCTATAATATTATAAAAACTAAATATAGTCAATTGAGTGATTATTAAAAGAGAACTTACATCAGAAAAGTGTGAATAATAAGATAAAGAGGAAAGATGGCATTGCCAACAGTACTACAAGTAGTAAACTATAATGTAAAGTTAACATATTTTGTGGAGCCTAACTACTGGCTATAAGCATCGAGGTTTTTATATATATACTTTATAATTTATTAAAAAGGGTCATATAATTTTATATAATAAAATTGATTTAATACTAAATGGTAATAT